TCTTTCTTACCCAAGCCGAGCCCCTCGCACATGCCGGCGGCCAGAGCGATCACGTTCTTGACGGCTCCGCCCACCTCCACGCCCACGACATCCTTCGAGGTGAAGCACCGGAACGTTGGCGAGGACAGCACCTGCAACCCAAAGCGGAGGGAGATAGCCACGGACACAACACCGAAGTCAACCATCAAATACGCCCAACGATTTCGCTAGGCACATGTTTGTTCGAGAGCTCTCCGCTGCGCCCCCTGATAAATCGCCAACGGTGTACACAAGGATCCGTGTCGTTCGAAATACCACGTACTTCCCTGCAGCAACCAATAAACATTACAATACCTCAAGGATGTAGTGACAGAGAGTTTCCACGAAACGTGTTACAAGTGCGATAAGGTCATGTGCGTGATGCCTTCTCATTTCCTTACATAAAACACAACGAGTTCATTTCTGCCGCAGTAAAAGAGTCCGGGATTCTCAGCGCAGTCAACACGTTCATTCTAACTAAACAATCGTATGTTTCCTACATAAAATCAAACGGCTTAATCTCTTCCGCGGTTGAAGAGTCCGGGATACACAGAGAAGTGAACGTGTGCATTCTCACAAAACTACGATCGTAGTGATTGAGTAGTGGTCGGTTCTGGGGATGACACATCACAAGAGACACACCCGACCAGCTTTACCTTGGCCATGTCGTTTGCGAGGCAGGAGTCGTCGCTCGCGATCACCACCGCCGTGGCTTGGTTCATCGCTATCTCTCGCGCGAACGAAGGCCCGCTGTCCGTGAGTAGTGTGTGGTTGCGGATACAACCAGGGGGCATCGCGATCGACCACGGTCGTTCCGGACCCCCCCCCCCCCCCCGTCCCACGCCACCCCATTAACACACCAAATGGCCAAAGAAGTGCCGGGGAATTATACAACCCCAAAAAACCACGCAACCAGGCACACCTGGAACAAAGCAATGCGAAGAAGTTTTGGGGAGTTAGTTGGCATTAGAGACAGGGGGGGGGGAGGGGAGAGCACGAAACCAGGCATCCGAATGCAAGGGCGGGCGGCACACAAAGCGTTTCGTGACATCTTCGTCAGATAAGGTGACAAGCTACTCTAAACTAAAAAGCTTCATACGATACAAAACGAAAAAGCTATCATTACCGCCTTGACAGCAACGAAGGCGAGGGGCAACGGCAGCATGCGGCGAGAGATGTAAAGCAGCACCTGAGGAAAGCGTACGAACGCTCCGTGCCGCAGAGGTCCTTAAGGATGTCGTTCATCAGCATCAGAGACGAGGTCTCGATCCCCTTGGAGACAGACAGTATTGGCGTCCCTGCCGGCATGTGCGGCACAACCTGATCGATTCCGAAAAGTAAAGACAGTGACATGATAAAAGAGAATTACGCTTCCTTCAAACAAGGATGGCGCCAAAAGTGCTTCAACATGGAGGTGTAAGATGCAAGGGTCGACAAGAGCAGCAGCACCAGGGACAGCATCAGTTGCCACAACAAACGACGGCGCCCCCCTCGGCATCGCCAACAGTCGCAACCACAACAAGTGCGACAAACAAGACAAAACAAAAACAACAACAACAACAGCAGCAACAACAACGACAGCAGCAACAACCACAACCAACAACACCAGCAGCAGCAACAGCAAACACGACACCAGCGTTGTTGCCCGCCTAAAGCCGACTCCATGCAAACTCCCCTCACACACACAGCGGCAGGAGCAGGACTCACGTTCTCCAAGAATTTCCTCGTGTACTGCACCGGCACCGCGTGTATTACGAAGGTCGCGTCCCTTAACGCCTCCTTTGGGTCTGCGGTGGCCACAATATGCTGCGGAAGCTTGATGCCTGTTTCGTGTCGATGAATCGTCACAGAGCACGCACGCGGGGGGGGGGGGGGGGGGGGGGGGGGGGGAAAACCGGTTCTTGGGGTTTTCCCCCTGGGAAAAAAAACCGGGGCCCCTTCGCGCCCCCCTTTTTAAAACCCCTTAACCTTAAAGGCCCCCTTTTAAAGGGGGGGGGTTTTTGAAAAAACCCGGCCCCCCGGAAAGGTAAAAAAAACCCCCCCCCCTCAAAAAGGGGGGGCCAACCCCCAAAAATTTCCCGGGGAAAAGGGGGAGGGGTTTTGCCCCGGGGGGTAAACAAAGGCCCAAAAAA